AAATGTCAGAGTCTCAATAGAATATTATCAGTGACATGATCTTTGGGGTAGATTCTATCCAGACAAGAGGGTCTTCAGCATTACACATTCGTTTGCCCAGGCAGCTGAAAGTTCATATCCCTAATTTGGAGTTTCACCTCAGTGACATAAAGAGCCCTAGGATACTGGGACAGATTACCCATTTCAGATGTACCTGCTGGCCTGTTGGCATGCAAAGTTCCCATCAGTTGTGATGTAAATATTTGACTTTTTATTTCTTTTCTTTTCTTCCTAACTCAGAATAGGATTTGGGGACTGGCAGTGCTGGGGGAGGAAAGGGGAAGTTAGTAGGGAGAGAAAAATAGGAGCCAGGCTTTGACCAGCCGAAGAAGAGCCCCTGCAGACTGGGTCAGTCTGACCCATTGAATGTCCTGAATACGATAAATGCTGCTTTATCCTGCCTTGAAAGGCACAAGATAGCACAGTCTAAATGCCTGGGCATGCTTAAATAGGCGACTCGGGATGTTTGAGTCGAACTTGTTTGAAATCTGAGCTCTCTGACAGCCTGGGAGCTGCCACAGGTCACCTGCCTTGCTCCGCAGGGACAGGCCCAGGTCTCACAAGAAATTGTCCATAGACGAATTGTAGTACAAATTCCTTTCTTTGTTGCTTGGCCTCTTTCACTAGACCATGGCCTATAAAATTTTGTAAAAACAATTCTTAAATATTATTTGAAAGGGCAAATGGGCCACGCTGAAAGGTTTGACAGTTTGACATATAGTGCATGGTTTTGATAGCTCGGAAACTGAACAGTGTGGCCAGGATTCTCCCCCTGCTCGTTAGAAGCCTGGTGTTTTTAAATAGTGTCTCGTTGCTGCTCCAAGTTCCTCTGCACCCAGCACTCTGAGAGGCAGTGAGCCTGCTTCGGTGATCTTAAATCCTTTTAGACTAATTTTCGAGAGAGCAGAAAAAAAAAGCTAGCACCTTGGAATCCAGCATCCAAAAAAAGCACATCACCAGGTACTGTCAATTAAGGAGCCACTCAGATAATCATATCAAAGCAGATCGCTTTCCAGTCTTCTGCTAACACCAGAGCCAGGGCCCAGAGAGAATGGAGCACAGAGCTTGACTTCAGTGAGCGGGGAAGAAAGGAATTTGAGTGGCTGGGTCTCATCAGAGCCGGGCGGGCGTCACTGCGAAGTGGAGTTCTGCATTAGAATGTTGCCTAAATACAGCCCCCCCTGTGCTCAACTCAGGCCTCAGCCTGTACATAGCCAAAGGCCATTTTCAGGAGCCTCTGGCCCCTCAGACACTGGCCTGCTAGTTAATTGCCACACGGACTTCATGACACATGGGCAGATAATATGACATTTTCGGTTTCTGTCACTAGCTGAAGCCACAACTAGTGCTTGCACTAGTTGCTAAGAAGCTGTCAGAAACCATTAGCAATTGGCTAAAGTCGCCCTATGGCATTTCCTCATAGCATCAGCAAAACGAGCATAAATCACCCACTGGAGCCTACTGCTATCCTAATGAGGCTGTAAGCTTGTTTATGGACTAGCATCATTTTTATGATTATTTCCACCTTTTCAGTTTGCCTTCATTTGGCGGCCGGAGAAGTCAGCTTCAGGAATGAAGTCACTGCTGACATTTTACAAATGTGGTTCAGAGCTGCTGCCTGCTGCCGTGTGGTCGGCCGGCGGTCCTCCAAGTTTGTTTAGTGATCTTAAAAATAAAAAAAAAAATTAAAAAAAGGAAATAAATCCTCCAGAGACCGCATAGGGGTGACTGTATCAAATTGCAGAGTGGATGGAAATGCTAAAGGTACAATTGACCATTTAGAATTTCCTCTGAGGTTGAGACGTTTCGAGATCAATTTTCAATTTTAGAAAGTGGAAGAGGTTAAACAATTTATTAAAATCTACGAAAGTGTTTGCTTTTAGAATAGTCTGTTTTATTATGCGCTTCTCCTTCCCCATCTTCTCCATTTCCCTCACTTGTGTCGGGAAGGAGCAGGGTTTATTGTTTTAGGCTTTTCTGAACATGCACCAGTATTTACACTGGATTGAAAGCATTTGCTTCCAATGAAAATCTTGTCTTAGATTACAACCCAGCAGTGTAATTTCCCTCCCAGATGGGAGTAAAGTAGCTGTATTTGCCTAAAAACAGTAGGAAGAACAAACTGTGCATTAAGCCAAGGCTGTTTTTGGCTTGAGCTAATGATGTAATAGAAACCTTTTATTCGGGAGAGGTCACTGCCAGGGACTGAGGGGGTGATCTGGCTCCCGCTTGAAAGGTTTCTCCATTGTATCTACATAAGTCTTCACTTTAAAAAATTCTGTTCCTAATGCTTCTGCTTTCATACAGCAGAAATAAACAGGAAAGGTTCTGGTGAGTGTTACACAAGGAATGCAGAAAGCCTTCCTCTCCTAATGGAGTATATAATTCAGGTGCCCTCCAGGCACGCTTTCAGGAATTCTTTTGCCTGAGGTAATGGGAAGCTAAGGCTGCTTTAAGGCCTTGATTATCTATTGATGCACAAAGCTGGAGAAAAGTCATCTCCGCTGGATTACAGTAGATATTTCCATAAATTATCAATGAATTCTCTTCCAGGCAGGCACTAGGCATTGCCTGCTAAATTAATCTGAAGGGGGTTTTGAGATGGATAGAAAGGCTCTCTCTCTCTTTTTTTTAAGGTGGCAAACCATCATGAATCGGGGGTGAAAAACTGTGTCCTGAGGTTAGACTCTTTTCATTTTTAATCAGTGACCAAGTAATATGTTTCTTTTCCTGGGTTTCCTTTTGCACATTGAAAGTGGATTCGCCCATTGAAAATTTAAATGCTGTTGAGTTGTTTTCTTTTCTCATGTTTCTTTAATGAATTGTTATTTTATATGGTGAATTGCTTCTCTGAATAAAAAGCCTTTTTAAATACTGGACTTTCAAAGAAATGATTAGGCAGATCCAAGGGGACTTCTTATAAAACATGTGGTTATGCAAATAAAGAGTTGGGTGGGTGGAAGAAACTCTGATTTAGGGAAAGGGATGTCTGGTCAAGTAGAGAAACCCCTAGGCTTCATCTCTGCAGAGAGCTCTTAAGCAAGTCATATAGAATCCAAGACCCCAATTTCATAGATACATTGAAGGTGTTGGAATTGTTACTCTTAATATCTTTTTTACTCCCAAGAACACTACTCTGGTCCTTGGAAATTTTTCTTTTTTTTTCTTTTTTGGTTATGCCTGTGATGCTCAGGGGTTACTCCTGACTCTGCAGGCAGAAATTATTCCTGGTGGTGCTTGGAGGACCTTATGGAATGCCCTTGATTGAACCTGGGTCCGCTGCATGCAAGACAACTGCCTTACCCTCTATACTATCACTCCAGTCTGGGGTCCTGTGGAACTTTTAAAATGCAATAGAATTCTTACTTTTCAATTAATAGACATTTAATTTAGAAAAGTTGGGGGAAAATTTTGCATGAAGCATATGCTATAATCATAGGAGAAATGTTGAAATTATTCTGTTCCTCACCCCAACATACTTTTAAATACTAAACTCAATATAAGTCTAGACAATTTGGAGGGATTTTTATTTTTTAGAAGGTGGTGTTCTTAACACTTCCCCTAGGAGGGAACTGGTAAGAACAATTGATGAATTGCAGCATAACTTCCATTCAGAAAAGATGGAAATAGCTGGAATAAAGAGAGTTCTTTTTATATATGTAGGGAATGTAGGTCACAGAAATTTTAAAAAAATGCAGGAATCTATGGAGCAGTGTACATGAATCTGAGGCTTGTTTTGATGTGTAGTCAAGGGGAAACTGGGTTTCCAAAGTGTCAGGTTCTTTGGACCTTGTAGACTGCACTTCAGGACTCATATCACCACATCACTTGGCTCCCCTTGCCTATGCCTTCCTTCTACATCTCTTCCTCTGGAGCCAAAAGCAACCTCTTCCTTTTGAAAAGCCAGTATCTTGCATGGAGAACTGAGTCCAGGGACAGAAACATGTTGACATCAGTTCAACTGCATTTTAGGGTACCAGGTTTAATTGTTTTTCCCTTTTGACTTTAATGCCAAAACAAAAAGTAATTATTTTCCTTATGTACCTTATGAGTTATTTTTGGATAGTACAATGTCATGGGAGCTTCCTCCCTCTCACTTATTAAGATATGGCATTGTAAAAGGAATACTATATATTTCATTTTATTGTGTCACAGAGCCAAAATGGTTTCTAGAAAGACTTAAATCATACAAACAGAAAAAGGGGGAGGCAGGATGCAGTATACAGAAAGTGCATAGATGGCTTTTTAGTGAGGAAAAATATCAAATCTAGGAGAAATTCGAGAAACAGCCTGGATTATTGCTGTAACATAATTCCAATTGACTTATGTTTAATTTAACTTCACTTTCTTTTACTTAAATAGTAATTGTTTTCTAATTAATAACTATTCTGGTTCTTCCTTTATTAAAACTTGATGCTCTCTTTCTATAACAAGAAAAATGATATTCTATTTGAAGCATTGCTATGTCAAACTGCTTATATGATATATTACCTACATTTCCATGGCCTACTTTAGTCTAAAGATAGATTACTTGTGGAAATAGTGGATATCTTCTCACAGTTGAATTCAAAGGTTTTATGTGAGATTTGAATATCCAGACAAGGGAAAAAACCCTCCACTAAAGGCATCCACCTTATTTAACTCTTCGGACAAAGTCATACTTGACATGTCTCAGCTATACACAGTGGAGTGATTGCCATGACCCCCTAGCTACTCTAGAGATTGGATATTTGCTTCCATTCTCATTGGCTTTTCACACTGTTCTTTGGAAGAAGTTCCTTAGACCTGATTACCTTTGAGCTTAGGTCTTGTTCTTTCTCTTTATCTTGGAAAAAATAGTACCAAATAAATGATTAATCATTTATATTGCACTTTTGGTTTTGTTTATATCCAAAGGCATTCTATTTGAATAAAGCATGTCAAGGTAGCATCAGTCAAAATTTGATTCACTATGTTTGCAGGTGATGGCTTGGACAACAGTGTAGCTTCCCCCAGCACAGGTGACGATGATGATCCAGATAAGGACAAAAAGCGTCACAAAAAGCGTGGCATCTTTCCCAAAGTAGCCACAAATATCATGAGGGCGTGGCTGTTCCAGCATCTAACAGTAAGTGGATTCTAAATGACATATGTAAACTAAATATGGACAATGACCAGTTTTGCTAGAAAAAAGAAATGATCCCTCTGGACTTAGATATTTCATAAATCACTGTATTCCCACAGTTTTTTTTTCCCCAGTGCTAGCACCTGTTTTCTAGTTTTGGACCCCAAATGAGGAGTTTTATTTGAAGTTCGCTATTGGAATTTTGTTAACTTTCATAAGTCAGAAGGTTTAGGAGTTCATGTGCCCTTGGGATTTGAAGCATGAATGTTAATGATGTTGCTTCTCTCAGTATTACTCTTAACTTCTTAGACCAAGATCCTAGTAAGAAAATAAGACAGTCCCTAGAGAGAAGGACTTAAATTCTTCTATTGCTTTAGTGGACCTGTACAAGAAATGGTCTGCAAAAAAATTTAAATATTGTTGCGATGACAAGATGTGCACATGATTTGCTTTTAAGTGGTTTTAATGCACGGGCTTCCATTATAGAACATTCATCTGAGTCACAGTTGCACAGTGAAAGTTTTCCCCGTATTTAGAACTGTAAAGGAAAACAGCAATATAGAGTCAGCTCTTCCTGTGTAGTCCCTTGTGACTTTTCAAGCAGAGTAACAGTTTATATTGTCTGTGTGAGTATTGCTGTTTTCACTGCAGGAATTCTCCTGGAGATGTGAGAAACTGGAGACTTGGGGCTATATGCCACTGAGGGATTTGTTTTGCTTGGTTATTATTCTGAATGAATTTCATGTTCAAAATATTTATAATCATAATATTTTGGTGGAGATTTTTATAAGTGCATACTGATGTAATGACATCTAAGGAAAAAAAGAGTAAATGAAAATGTATGGGTAAAACAGCATTTTAAAAACCAGTGAAATTGCTGACCAGGGGTGACTATCAATAGTAGGGCCAAAGGATTGACTACAGAGGGTACAGCCTAGCCTAGCCTGATCTAAGATAAATGAATGTTAAAAATGCTTGGTGTTTTGCTTTTTAATCTTAGAAGCAAACCTTTTATGTCACTATTTTCAGCAGAGTTTGCTTTTCTGAATGTCATTTATTTTTCTTAAGTAGATAAATTAATTGTGCATTGTCACGTATGTGTCTAGACCTGTTGATCCTCATGCCCTTGCTCACATGCAAAGCCATTTCCTCTGTGAGTGGTACTGATACTGTATAAAACCTATAGCCTAGCTCTCATGCTGAAGGGCTATGCTCCAGTAACAGTGAAAAGCAGAAATTAATTTATATTTTCCAGCACCTGTGAATAAAATAAAACTGAGAACAGCAAGAAAAACTAAAAAGTGTTTCCTCTCTTCTCTTCTTCTCATATGAGTCTAAATAGCAATTGGACTATTCAGTTTTGAAACAGTTCCTGATGTTGACTCGTTAGTTAAAATTTTATATTGCTCAGGGGATTGTAATGTTGCATTCAGTTTACCTGAAGTCTAATTTGGGTACTGTTGCTCATCTGACTAATACTTATACATATATAAGCAGTTTGAGACCTGCTTGAGCAAGTTTTCCATTGAAGATTATCAACCACTACTGAATGGGAGGGTAAGATTAGAGTCTAGAGGGCATAGCATGAACAAGAAGTAGTATGGCATCTAAAGTCAGCAGGAGGTAAGAAGTGGCAATTGGTCAAAGGTACCAATGCAATTATGCTCGTATTTCATCAACAGAGCTAACTAGTTAACCTGATATGGAGGCTGATGTGGGGAGGAACTCAATCAGGTTGACCCTGAAGTCACAATCAAACTATTTCTATTTCCTGTACTAAGAGGGAATAAAGGAATAGATTTTGTCAGTCTCCATCTCAATTTGTAAAGGAGGCATATGATTTGACGTGAGACTGAGGTGCCCCTGAATAAAATATAATCAAATATTGGTTCAGATAGAATCTGGAGAGAGTAAAGCAAGTAATTTTATTCATCTACCTAATCCCCTGGTTTTTGAGGTCATATCCTTGTACACAGAATTTTATTATCTGAAAATTAAATTTTTTTTCTTTTAGCAGTCATCATCATTTTCTTTCTGCATTGGAATGCTTTATGTGGTCCATATGTTATTGGGGCAGTTGTAGCAAAAGTTATTTCTGAATGCCTGATACTTTGAGATCCAGCAAATTTCTCCATTTTGGAGGACTGTACTGGCTGTTACAGGTCTGGAAGGGAAAACTGATGTGTCCAAGTTTTCTTGCTTCTTGATTTCTAGTAGACATGTCCACTCTCTTTTCCTACTTCAGTGCATCTGCTTCTTCAAGAACATGGATAAAATGGTCTAAAAAGCGATTGTCTTCATGACATTGTATAAAAAGAAAAGTTAGGAGATATATTTAAATTTTCTCTCTTTCTCCTTTCTTCAAAGAAGAAAAATTCCCTTCTCTCCTAACTACAAGAGCCAATGGACTTTAGTTATAGAAAAAACTTCCTCCTTGCTTTGCTAGACTTTTTTTTTTATTTGTAATGATTTATTGTTGGCTCACAGTATTATGGAACTTCAGGGGGTTAACTTCATACCTCTTGATCTTAGTATTATTAAAGGAATGTAAAGACTGCTTAGGTGTTCTAAGTTGGAGCTGATCATAATAAAATCTATGGAAAAAATACAGAGTTTAAAGACAGTTTTGTTGTTTGTCCAAAAATAAGTAGCTAACAATGTTTTATTTCTAATCCTTTAGAAACTTTATTTCAGATATCTGACAGGTCCTTGGGGATGCATAATAGTTTAAAAGATTGTGGGCAGATTTTAAATGATCGCATTATTTCTCTTTTATTAAGGCAATTTATATTGAAAATCCTTTCTGACATACTGATAGATATAAAAGAATGATGGAAACTGGCCAATTAAAACAATAAGCAATAACAATTTATTATCAAATTATGAAAAATACCTGATATTTTAAATGCCAAAGACATATTATAAAACCTCACATGTCTTTTTGAAAGAAAATTGCTTTTTTTTTTTACAAATAAATAGGTCAAACTTTTCATTGCTTTTATTCAGTGAAAAACATCTGCCTTTGAAAAGGCTTTCAAACATTTGTATGTGTCAGAGGTGTAGAATATGCCCTGAATTAAAAGAAAGAAAGAAAGAAATCTTTCTGGATTTGTACCCCAGCAGCATAAGAAAAATGTCTTGTTATGCAGTTATCTACAGGTAGATGTAATCAGTGACATATTTCACTATCCCAAAGACAACTACAGTTTGTTTCTTGGATTTGTCTCTAGTAATCTAAACTGGGCATATTTATATATAATGAAAACAATAAAAGAGAAAGGAAACAGGTTTTAAACTTTGGTGGTTATGGGTAAACGGAAATTTCAATGATGTAAATTTCCAGCTTAGACTTAGCTGAACATTTGTCAGTTTTGATAAGTAGAGAAGGTCTCTTAAAAGAACCTATTCCCTGGAATTGAAAAGAATGACTGACATTTTTTTAGATAATAAGAGAGAATGAGAAAATAAAACACATTTATTGATAGAAATACTTAAATTTGCCTGAAGATAAATTATGGCAAACAATTAAAAAGTATTTAATATTTGTGTATGAGTCACTGTATAGTCACAATCAGTTCAGGGGCACATGCCACATCAAAGGTTTTTTTCTTCTTTAGGCATTATTCCAACTATTAATATAACCTACCAAGTCATACTGTTTAAGCTGCAAGTATTTTGCATATTACTGGTTATTTTGTTATTCAGTGTTACAGAGATATGTGCCTAAGGGCCTAGAGGAAGTGAGGAACTAAAAAATGTTTTTTTTCTTTTATTTCTTACCCTAATATATCGAAGTTTTACATAGAAAAGCTGTTAGTATGAGTTTTTATCTAGAATATTTTATACATGTTTTCTTGTGTGGAACTTTTTTATGATCCAGGAAACCTGAAAATTAGGAAAAGTGCAGGTTGTTTAGCATACCTGCAGATTCTGGGAAGACCCTGTTCTCCAGGGTGACACATGACCAGAAAGGGAACTTGAATCTCACAATTCTATTCTTCATTTTGCTTTTCTTGTCTCCCTTCTCCCCCCATCCTCCTTCCCATCTTCCCTTCCTTTTCTCCTTTCTTCTTTTCCTTGGGTGAGCTATTATCCTAGAAAACATTTTTTTTTTTCTGTATGGCCAACTTTATGTCCTGATTTCTGATTTATAAGACTTTCCTTACAATGTGAATAAAGCCAAATTGAGGAATTGTAGAATCTTCTTGGTTGAGACTAGTGTTTCCATAGAAACACTATTAGATGAAAAGTGCCCTGCGGGTCCTCTACTCTAAGGATAGAGTAAGCGGAATTGAATTGGGAATTGAATGCACTAGAAGAGACAGATGTTGTTTCATTGGCTTTGCTTTTGGTAACAAGATCTGTTAGAGATATTTTAGTGTCATATCTCTGTTCGCAGTTTTGGGAGCATTGATCTCTAAACATTATGAATTATTACATTGACAAAGTGTTTCCAATTGGTATCCAGATGACCCATTCTGTTAATCAAGGTGAGTTAAAGGTCAAAAAGGCAGATAGATCAGACACCAGGAGATTAGGCAGATATGGAATTTGTTCTTCTCCTCTTATTTCTCTTTCTCTTTGAATCCCTCACATCTATACTTGGCCAGTTTTAACCGTGAATATTCTTACTGTGCCTTACCAGTTAGTTTCTCTTGGGTACCATTAGTTCTAAGAATGTGGTGGGGCTGGAAGATTATTCTCCACTCTTGCCTGAAATGTCAACCAGAGTGATTCATAGGATTTGAAAAGGACAGCCCCTCTTCAAACTAGTCCTGATCTATCTTCATTTTTCTGTGCCTGAGCCAAAGGAAGTAGTTTGCAGAAATAGAATCTTTGATCTCATCTTCGCTGTGTGTTATTTGCAGATACATTGACTTTTGAAAACAAGCATAGTGGACAGAGAGATAGTATCGTGGGTAAAGCTTGCATTGCATACTCCAGACTCTGGTTCAATATCTGGCACCCCAGATGATCTCCCAGTTGCTGCAAGGAGTGATCCC